ACTGACATCTAGTGGTCAACTGGAGCAACTACATGGAAAACTTTAAAATCCAAGCTCTTATTTTGAAAGGAAGATAGTTTCCTGTTCTCCCTGCTTTCGTTTCCCGTCACAAATCAAATCCGTCATGTACCCAGAATGCATCGCTTCAGTTTCCCAATAAACAGTTTTAAAATTACTTTATTGATGCTTCTTTAATGAAAAATCTACAACAAACAAAAGAAAAAGACAAAGAAGCAGCCGAACTAGCAATCCTCAACAACTTTTTAAAGAATCAGTCGAACTAGCGATCCTGAACAACTTTTTAATTTTTACACCAGGAGCTAAAGTTCTGTTTCAGGAAATCACATCCCCAGCAATCAGTGGTTGTAGGATTAAGCTGTACAAGGGTTCATACACCACTAGTTGGCAGTGTTGTACATACTGTATATTGTACATGAATTGTTGTCAACTAGTACGTGTGAAATTGAACTTGTGCTTTAAAATTAGCTTCCCACCACTGGTTGTTTCTTTTAGTGGTTTGTCTGCTTCTGAAACTAGTGCAGTTGTCTCAGTGGTCAGAGTTCCCTGATTAAATAAAAGTCAAATTCTTAAAAAAAAAAAGGAAATGTTGTGTATTTGTTACACAAGTTGCATGATATTGGAAAACCAGTACATCAAGCAGCTCTAGTACAAACTCACAATTTATTTAGTTTTCCAGGACATGGTTGACATTGAGTTCCTGACCATATGAAAAATGTAAAACAGGTAAAAAAATAAAAAATAAAAAAACTAAAATGGTCACAGTTTGGTTTGGAGCTGAAGTCTTGTTTCTAAAGTGTTTGAAAAAAAAAAAAAGCTCTGTCAGCAGAAACAGCTCTAATCTGCTGGGAATAAACAGCTCTTTAATAAACACAACCACCTGTCAAACTGCACGCTTTCATCTGCAGCTAAAAGCACCAGAGGTGGATGTCGTCGTTTCAAAAACAGCTCTTGACCTCATTTTCTCTTCCTCTATGCAGCCTTTTTTTTCTACCGATGGACCTGAATCTGAAACAAAGGCTCTGCTGCACACCTGTCCGTTTCTCTGTCCTGGATTATTGACTTGCTTTTCCAAAGTCACAGCACATATCTTCATTTCCCACGCTGGGAGGAGGAGGAGCCGCGAAACGGTGACTCGTGATTTTTCATGCGGAAAGCCCGTTTCTGTCTGTGCACCGGGGGGGATTACCGTGCTGTCAGATTATGGCTCCCTGGTTGGGGATGGATTGAAAGGTCAAGCTCACGCACAACAGTTTGCTCGTGTTATTTTTAACCCCAGCGATTGCCTCATTTCTAATTTATGACTTCAGAGCGTCACGGAGCTAATGCTGGAGTCATGGAGGCGTGGGCCAGGAGGGTTTCTGCAGGATTCACAGCGATAAAGCAGCTGAACGCAGCGCCGCAGCTCRTTTATGGAGCATTTATGCTCATTGCAATCAGCAACTTACTGGAAGTGTTTCTGTGTCAGGCCTAAAATAAACATCCAGACTCCCATGAAGTATTAAAGTGTGTGTGTAAAGTCATAAATGACTATGTTATACAAAAACAAAAACAATTTTTTGAGCTTTATATCATGTTCTAATGTTGCTCATCAAGTGTTGCTTTGACTCATTCAAGTATTTGAGAAATCCTTGAATCAGCTGCGGAGCAGGAGGAAAGGAGAGAGAGGAAAAAGTAACTTATTTCTAGCAGCAGAACAGGTTGGAAGATGGCTGTTTGATGTTGTTTATTGTTTTTTAAATCATCCTATAGGCTCTGACATGTTAGATAAATTTGAAAATGAGGTTTTTAAAATATCCGTAAGACTTG